GGTCTGTATGTGGGATCCGAACCCTTGGCGGGAGCGCCACCGCGCTCCCAAGCAGCGCACTGTAGCAGTGCGCCACCGGGCCGGCCCCAAAGTTATTTTTAAAAAACTTTTTATACCATCTGAAAAAACTGTAACAATTTATATTCCTTATAGCATAGTACAAACACATCAATTAGTTTTCCTATATCTTTGGCACAATATTTTCTAAATTTTTGCATTATGTTAATCTGCATTTCTCTGATTACTAGTGAAATTAAATTTTCCTTTTAATGTTTTTGAGACATTTGACCCAAAGCATTTCAGTCTTTGACTTTCTCACCTTATCAATGGAGAAAATATAAAGCTTGTCTAGGAAAGAAAAGGAATCACTGTTTTATGCAATTTTAAGTTGTGGACAGGGTAGGTCAGATAAAGAAATATTTATGCCATTGGATATAAAAAACCACCAAGGCATCGCTCAGTTTTCTTACTAGCATTTCCATTTTCCTGGGGATAAAACCTCAAGTAAGTTCTCTTAAAAATGTCAGAAATTAAAGAAGAAAATACAACTTACTTCCACTTTTTGATATATTGTAAGGGATTAAGGTTGCATCCTGCATCAGTTAAAGCTTTTTTATATTGTTCCAAATCAGCCTGAAAGAAGAAAAGAACCTATATGACAAAAATTTTTACTTTCATGAAAGATTATTTTGTTTGTTGTCATCTGATTCATCAAAAAGTTAGACCAAAAGCATGAGTAAATTCTAGGCATCCCAAAAGAGTGAAGTTGCATCTTAAATGAGTACCCAAGTGAGTCCCTGAGATAAAAATCAAATATAACAAAAATTACTTTTGACAGGCTCCTAAATTACCTATAAAGTACAGTATTTTGTCATCCCTCAGTAAGTCCAAAGTCAGTTTTTCCCCTACTGCTGAAATAGACTGCCTCTCCTAGGAACAAGCACTAAATGAATGATTTGGCTTGACCAAGAATATTTCAAAACCAAAACCATGAAGGAGAATGACACTGACTGAGGAGAAATGCAGATTCAGGTTTCTCATCTTATTCACTCTACAGGTCCAGATTCATTAACGGAACAACAGGTGGCCTATACTTTTTAAATCGTTTTTTCTCTTTTCCCTACTCTTTTTCTTTCCTGATGAATGTCTAGTTGAATGTGTCTAAGTTAAAGGAGCCTACTATCAGTGAATCCAGTGTAAAAATTTTAAAAGGGAGGAACTTCTCCCCCCTCCCCCAAATCCCTGCTTTGCAACTTACACACTTATGGTCTATGACCTAAAGCAAATTGTTTAACTTCTCTGCATCTCAAAAGTCTTCATTTATAAGTTCAGGATAATATTACATGTCTCAGCAGGAAATTCTGAAACTTTTTTTTCTTTTTATTATTTATTTTTTTATTGAATCATAGTTGATTGTACGTATCTGTGAGCTACAGAGTTGAATATCAATACCTCTGTGCAATATGTGATGCTCAGATCAGGATAATTAGCATAAAGGGAGGCATTTTTAAGCTTACCACCAACTAGAGATTTTTACTACTTTGCATTTTTGGAGCTATTCTGACATCAGTAGTCATAATTTGCTTCTAGCCTCTTAGTGATCACTTAAATTTATGAAAAGACATAAACCGTATGAAAAATAAAAGATAATAACGTGGTCCAATTAAGGGAATATTTAATTAAGTTTTAAAATCATATAAAATCATCTATTATAAACAGGTTATTAGAACCCCCTAAGAAATAGGTAAACCCCCATTATGAGAGAGAAATTTCTAAAAACAACCACCCATATTTTCTTACTGAATTAAGTCAAGATTTATATTCCCAGAATAAAGTACAATGCCTACAGCAAATATTGGTTTAGTCTGCTGTTTTAATATGCCAAATATTTTTTACCAACAGAAGCCTTACAATTTACCAGACATTAAAAAAAAATTGCTACCAACAAAGAAAAGGAGCTTACAACAGCCATACCATTCTAGATGTCATTTCCAAGGTTCCTGTGCTTGTTGCTCATCTAGTAAAACTATACTGAGTTAACACTACAATCAATGGTCTCTAACCCAACAAGAAGTCTGATACCAAACCCGGCACTTTCCTTTATAGAATAGCCGATATAAGGTATTTTCTATATGTGGACACAATGCTCATCTCTCAGGGACTTTGACATCTTATGCCAGATTACCAACCCTCCCTCTATCCCATGCATGGATGCCCTTGTCATTCTGCTCAGGTTCCAACATCCTCTTCTGACTTCAGTGGCACTAGATTGTCACTTTGCCTGAATGCCTACCTTGCTCTGCCCTACTAAATGTCTTTAGGAATAAATTGAGAAAGAGGAAAGGAAAAAAGAAAGGCTCTGATTGCCTTTTTACCAACACACTTATTTGTTTAAACTTTACTCAAAACTTATTATAAATTACAAGGAATAGCTCAGAAGAGTAAGGCACTTATATATAACCTTTTGCATTTCTTTCATCGTAAAATGTATATACTTTCAAAATGCTATGTTCTCATCACAAATCTAGCTTTCTAAAAGTGTGAGCAATACTCATGGTTCCTCAGTTTTTATGAATGGAATCTTTAATTACAAAAGTTTGTAATTTCTTATGTCTTTCCAATTTGGAATAAAGTCTAAAACTCACACCAAAAATCTAACTCAAAACCATCATCATTCAGTTTGAATAGATTATATGCAAAATGGGTCCTAGGCTTTTCATTCATTCTGGAAAAAGCTGAGATTTGAATTTAAAACTATTCTGAAATGATCGACAAGTCTCTAAAGTATACAGAATTCTAGAAGCTAAATCCCTACGTAGATCCTATGATCATTATACTTATAAATTATACTTAGATTACATTTCTAAGTACAAATAGTCATAGCTTGGTTTAAGAAAATCCATCAGACAAATATTTAGATAAATATAAATGTAAAGGGATTGATTACATAGTTTCTTTAAAGTGAATTCCCTAAACATGTAACATAGAATTCGGTTTTAGATACATCTTTTCAGGAATCTCTTTGGGGTGAATGGAAGTAATTAGAAAGGGCCAGCCCCGTGGCTCACTCGGGAGAGTGCAGCGCTGGTAGCGCCAAGGCCGCGGGTTCGGAACCTATATAGGGATGGCCGGTGAGCTCACTGGCTGAGCGTGGTGTGGACCACACCGTGCCGAGGGTTGCGATCCCTTTACCAGTCAAAAAAAAAAGAAAGCATATCACTTTGAGAAACTTGTTTTGAATGTTATATCTTCAAATCTTCTTGGAACAAGCAGAAACTGAACTTTAACTATATTATTTTAAACAAATGAATATAAAAGTAGTTAACTACTATCATAGAAAAGTTGAATGAAATAAAATGCAAATCATTTTTCCACTTTAGGAACTGCTTCCTAAATTTTCTGCAATTTTCAATTTTGATTTTCTCATTTAATTATGTCATTATTAGCATAGATAGTCAGAAAAACAATAATTCTATTCAAATTTTACTCAAATTGAAAATACTGAATTCATCAGATGTAAAACTCACATTAAAAATACCTCAAATTTATGGTACATACCATCAGGGTCTGATATTATATCTAGAAGAGATTTATCCAGAGTAGTTTTGCTCATTATTTTTTCTTCATATTCAAAATATACATCCAGTTTTCTTGCCTGTTTCAAAATAAATATTAGATGAGAATACATTAAGTAATAAAAATATACTAAGGTCTCTCAGCTTCTAAGTTTCTATTTTCTATTACCAATTTTAAAAACCAGTGTTCATCTCCTAATAGAATTTATTTTAATGTTAGTTACTTCAAATCATACAATTAATTAAAAAAAATAGATTAACTATTTTGTTTACCATATTTGACTTATAAAATCAGAATTAACTTTGCATATATATATATTGCAAAGATAAAAAACACACCATTCTCAATTATTGTATTAATCAGTAACCAGCATATTGTACTCCATGCAAATTAACATCAGGTGGTCATGTTACGTTCACTTTTTTAGCGTGCAAACCCACATATTTAGACCTCGACTAGATAGAAAGTTAATTATTTCAATGATTTTTAAACACAACTATTTTCCTCATTAATTTTCTTATTTAATACTTTGAAGTTTTAGGCTATGGAAAAGTAGTAAAACTTTTCTGTATGTCACCTTTTCTAATTTAAAATTTTGTTGATTAAAATTTTCCAAATAAAATTAACATATTCAGATTCTCCAAAGTAAATAAAAGTTATCATTATCAAGTATCTATTAAATTATGCTTTAGATAATAATACAAAGATAAAAGAACATGTTTTCTATTGAAGGTTTTATCAATCAAGGTGGGAGTAGAAACCAATCATGAAATAAATTAGGATACTTAGCAATACCAACAAAGAACCAATATTTAAATACAAAATATAATATACATTAGGTTAAGATGACAGAATGAAAAATAGTTAAGCAACCGTCGAGGAGGAAGTGATGAATTTTGAGTTGAGTTTTGAAAGTGATTTGCAGACACAGAAATAGTTCATTTCAGTTAAGCAGATCATACCAAGGCACAACAGAGTACAGACACCTGAAAGCAGACTAAGGAGTGAATCTCATACAAGAAGCAACAGGAAATCAGTCACTGTTCTCGCAATCCCACTCCCCTGTAGTGGCACACAGGCCAGAGTTTTAAATAGATGAAATACTGATAGTTCAAAAATCAAAACAACAAAAAAGGTATGCATTAAGAAGTCTCATTTCTCACTCTTGTCCTCTTCCATCCCATACCTATAGGTATTTATTTTGATTATTTCTTTGATAGCTTCTCAGTTACTTTATGCAAATGAGCATATATAAGTCTATATTTTAATATACCTCCCTTTTATGACACAAAAGGTTATACTATACTCTTCTGTATAGTATAGATTACTACGAATATAGTATATATTACTATCTATATATCACCATATACTCTTCCCCTTCCTTTCACTAAACAATATATTCTACATCAGTACATAAGGTGTTAAACTGACTTTCAGGCCCTTCATAATCTCATCCAGCCGACCTTTACCGTTTTAACACTATTCAGTAGGTTCAGTCCTCTCCAGTCACATTAAATACCTCACTGACTTTTCATTAAACACTGTGTACGCTTTTAGTCCTCTAGGCTTAGGCTCAGGTTATTCTCCAAGCTTTTAAAAAATATATTCCTCCTCCATCATCTGCCCAATGAATTCTACTCATTCTTCAATTTCTCTGCAACTCTTTTACCAATCTCTGCTCTCTCTTGTTCCTGCCCCTCCCCCAATCTCCTTCTTGGCCGGAACTCATTACTCCCTTATCTGTGTACCAACAGTACTTCGTACACCTCTCCACAATAACAATGGTCACATTATACTACTTTCCTTCGCTTACACGTCAACTTTCTAAAACTGTAAATGCCCTAGAATGTGTCTAATTAATTATTTAACCCTAGGGGTCTAACAGCAAATGAACTTCTAAAAGTGAAAATGTAAAGAATCTAGTTTTTAGTGATTTAATATATAAAACTAAGAATGCTAAATGACAGAAAGGAATCTAATGTCTAACTACATAAATCAGTGAAAAAACATGGTTCACTGATTTATGTAGATACAGACATTTGACTCATTTTGCTCTTCTTGATATATTAACTTACTTATACTTCAACTTCTAATGATTAATGGAAATAGAGTCTAAAAGCAACTTAGTCTGACTGTTAATGGGTATCGGGTTTCTTTTTGAGGTGACAAAAACTTTCTAAGATTAGACTGTGGTTGTGGTTGCAACAACTCAATATACTTACACCAATAAATTATATATACTTTAAATAGGTGAATTAGTTGGCATGTGAATTATATCTCAATAAAGCTGTTAAACAAAAGTTAACTTAGCATTTCAATATACTGATTATGAATGAGCACCATCTAAGAAGAAAAGGAGTGAAGTATAGATTTTCTGCCCTGTATAAGATAACTATTATCTGTTTAGTACCTATCATGTGCAAGGCACTTTACTTACAGCTATGGCTTTCAAATGTTTTTAAACAGAGAACCTCAGGACCCTCTTTCTCAAACCAATTCTTCTGCAGAACCCTAAACATAAAATAGACACAAGTGACCCATTAAATGTCTGTATACAGCTCTAGGGTACCAGAGAACAGTGTTTAAAAACTCCTAACTTACATTACCTCATTTAATTCTCCAAATGACCCTATGAGCTGGGAATTATTAGTCTCATTTTAAAGATAAAAAAAACAGACACACAGAGACATAAATTTATTCAAGGTTACCGGAGAAGAGGTAGTAGAAAGATGAGATTCAAATCCAGGTCACACTCCAATGTACATCAGAGATAAAGAGTAAGAAAAATTATATTTTCCTCAAGAACAATTTATTGCTTCCTTTGTATATGCTTTATGAAAGAAAGTATATTTCTCAATTAGTACATCTTTGATAATATATATAACTTATGTATATGTGGCAAAAGGTCATTTTTGGTCAGAGATTTAATATCCGTAGGTCTTTTTTCAAATTCTTATAATGAGGGAAAATACCAAGAGAAGCAATTTCTGTAATTCCAAAGACTGATTATTCTTCTATGACAAGGGCTCAAAAGAGAATACAATTTGAATGAGTGACATAGAAAATAGACAAAAATATAAAGCAAAATAACAAGGTCAAGATAATACATAAACTGAGATTTTTGGTAGCTTCAATAAATAGCAAGAATAAATATTATAGAAAACCAAAAGCACTATGCATGGAGTACCAATTATATATGTAGTGAATATATACAGCGAATATAAAATTAGAGAGCCATGAATTTCTCAAAAATCCCTTTAGAAGGGCTTTCTAAAGGAGGAATCTGACTATATAAAAAAAAAATCAAGAGTTTTTTCCCCAAATTTCAGGGTTGTCATCAGTGGACAATCAGGCTGATATTTCTTCTACTTTTTAGTACATTACCATTTATATCAAATTAACATTATATGAATACAAATACATACATATATACACATACAC